GTTACTTCGGGTATCTATGAGTAACGAGTACTCGAGTATCGTATGATTACTTTTTCAACACCACTACCATATGGCACGTTAGGGCTCTTGTCGCTAAATTTGACCCTCGTCAAAGGACTTTACAACGTTGGAAGCATGGTTCGATCCGCTCCCATACGAGATGTCATGCGTTTGATGGATTTAGGTCAGAACCAGTACAGACGACAAACATTATTTATTTGTTTGCTGTGATTGTGGTGAAGTAGTGGTATGTGGCAAGTATTTTGATTTGAATACCTACCTCTTCATATAATGTATATTCCGTAACTAACTTTTGAGAAGAATGAATTAAATTAGTATACATACAAAACATAGGCTGTCATAACAGCACCTTTTTCATATTGCTAATATTTTGTACATTTCACAGGTGAGTTATTGCTGGCCTAAGGATATGTATTTTAGTAAATTATAAATTATCAAGTGCTTAAAGTTGTTTCATTATAATGTCCTGTTGCAATGCAAGACTAGTTGAGAAATATATTGACTTTCATAACTAACGAAAAAGATTAAATAAATGATAGTTCTGAAAGTACCATCAGGATTTGGATGAAATGTTGACCCTATGAAAATGACGAAAAAGCGCTGCAGTTTTTGAAAATCGGTACAGTGGCGGTGGAGCTATCCTCGAAAACCAAACAAAAAACGGTCGAACTTGACCCTATCGAGTGCCTAGTGATATTTGTTAGGCAAAGTAGAATTTGCTACTTATACAAATTTCAATATTTAGTTATTTCCCTAAATCACACACAGATGACATGTACTAAGACATTTTAATTGCATGCCTTTATTGAATTTCTCAATTAAAATTAATTCGGGCCAATGATTAACCTATTTCACCTGGTAGAATTTGTTAAACAATATCTTGACGTAATTAAAAAACGATACTAAAATGCCACCACACGGTGATTTCGCATTCCCTTTTTACGATACGAAACGAGTGAGAGGATCTTATAATTCAATCAACATTTTTGCCAACAGATTACTTTCAAACACTCATCTGTAAAGCAATACGCTGTTTTCACCCGACAGCAACTTGACTCCAACCTAATTTCAACTTCAGTTGTCTTTTGCGTTATTGGTAATGAGAATGCGGAATATGAATAGCCTAGATTGAATCTTAAAAACACGACTAAAATAAAATTATACAGGGTGTCCGCAAAGTTGGGGTTTTCCTTTACACGACGTGTAGATCTTGAAAACATAAGCAATTTATACAGGGTGACTTTGAAGTTGAGTCATTAATTTTCAGATAATGATTGTAGAAGGAAGATAAACCAAAATATGTGTGTAAAAATAAAAAAAAAATAAAAAAAAATGTTACCTTGTTTAATAAGTTTAATAAGACAAGTATTTCAGTGCGGACCTGTATTTGATCGTGCGGTCTTGGAGCAGCATGCCCTCACCTGTGAGGTCTTAAGTCACCTGATTCACGAGCCCTTTGCACTACATTAACAAAGGTACGAGGGGTTGGTTGCACTCGATTGGGAAACCGATTCGCATAAATCCGTGATGCATCCGGGAGCATTTTGTAAAGACTGCCCCCCCGTAAATAAGAATCATGTCCACAAGTTCAGCATTTTCGTAAACATGTGCCATTTTTGATTTCGTTTGAGCCACGCAACACACTACTATTCACTCAGGATTTATCGACTGACGAAAAACATCGTGATAAACGTTTCAAATTCTTTCGCTTTTTTGTTTCCGATGCGATGAACCGGTCAGGCGGATTATATCCGTTGTCGCCAAACACGAGCATATAATAGGCAGGGCGGTACTCAAACTTCCAAAGGGCTATAACTTTGTTACTTTAATTTTACCAGAAAAATGGTAAAGGAAAAAAACATTTCTTTTGATCAGATCTACTCACTGTTAAAATAAATGACTCAACTTCGAAGTCACCCTGTATACACCAATGTCTTAAGGGAACCGAGATAAAGGGCTCTGCAACATCAAAAATATCTGAATACCATCCTGTAGCCGCGACATCACGGAGTGGTACAATGTCACTGGCTCAACGACAGAACTGGGTCGGGGTCAGTGTGTCTTGTGTCAGGTCAGTATGCAACCTTCAACCGACGGTTACGGTCACGCCTGTAGAGGTAATCGCGTAGACGAGAATCCCTCAACAAGCACTAGAGACGTGGCTAGAGAAGTGCAAGTATCAAAAACTAAAGTGTGGCAAACGCTGCGTGAAGAGGGGCTGTATCCGATTCACGTCCAACGTGTACAAGTCCTTCAACCTGATTATTTTCCAGCAAGAGTTTTTGTGAGTGGTTGTTGCATCAACATGACAATAATCCGGACTTTTTGAAGTGCATATTGGTGACAAACGAATCTACATTCACGCGTAATGGGGTGAATAACTTTCGCAACACTCATGTTTGGTCAGTAGAAAATCCGCACGCTGCCCGTCGGGCACATTTTCGGTGAATGTTTGGGCTGGCATGGTGCGTCTGCTCGGTAGCGCATCAGCTGATTTCATTTTCTGTTGGAGCGGTATGATTTCGGGCAGAGACGTACTTAGCCCTTCTCGTCAACTGGAGAGTGAGTACTTTTTCCTTTATTTTTTTTTTACTTGGTCGCCCTCGTTTCACTACACATTACCTTTGTTATTTCAAGGGTAGTTGTTTCTGAAAAGGAAAACCCCAACTTTGCGGACACCCTGTATATGTAAGTAAAAAAGGTAATTCTCTAGCTTTACACCAGCCGTTTTTGATGAAAAAAATGATTTCAGACCCAAGTTTTTGGGTGTAGATGGTGGAGTTAAGATAGAGAATTACTCAATTTTGTAAAGTCCGCCAAACGAGGTAAAATTGTGGCCACCCTTTAATGTAGATACATTTATGTATCCGTGCTACCCAAACATCAACAAGGAATTCCAAATCTAGTATTTGGTTTTTAATATTACGATTCTATGTATTTTTTATTTCATGCTAAATTTTTGGATTATCATACGAAACACGTGTAATATTTAAATATACTTATTTCAAATACAGTATACCAGTATTTATGAAATGTACAACATAACAGAACAGTAATATACTGAAAACGTACATAAAAAAGGGCTAATAGCGACTTGAAATCATCTAATCCTCAAATAACATTAGGAACCTTAACTTGAATGCGGAATTAGGAAACATACAACTGGAGGCTTTCTTTCTCAATTGTAAGTTAATACTTGTATAACTCAATAAACTAACAGGGATAGTAAAACAAACAAAAATATTAAATAATGAGTTTATTCTAATACATCAAAAAATTAATCCCTGTAAGGACCAGTTTTTCAATCACAGGTCAACTACGGATTTACTGCTAACCGGAAGTTGATCTTCAGAAATCGTGTTTCAGGTTTGCCCTAAACAATAGATAGCTTTAACTACAGGTGCAGATATCGGTGAAATTGATAGGTGTAGTTGAACCGCAAATTTGCTTGGCAGTGACATGAGTTGCCACGGATGACGCGAGACACGAATATCAAGTGTCACGAAACGCACAGAGCACGTTACCCAACTCGAAGGTTAACTTCAAAATGAAAAACCGGGCCTAAGTTATATTTTTTTTATACTCCAACTACCACGAAGGCCTAAGGCCTAAACACCCATGGGGTACCGTGGGGCTATAGGGGGATACAAGGGAAAGGGGGAACGCCACACGGACTCTTGCGAGGGAACACGTGTGCATGCAACATGCACACATTCTGGCCCCGCCTACGAGATCCGCCGGGTGGTACCTCTGCGTTCGACAGTCGGTGACCGTCTACCACCTACGGACAATCACAACATCCATAGCCAAGAGGAAAATTTCCCTTGGGACGGGATTCGAACCCGCTCAGGGCACGGCGACTGGTCAGGAGACCGAACAGTCTGCTACTGCGGCCACCGCTGCTATATATATATATATATATATATATATATATAACTTGAGACGTGGTCATTGTCGTCTAGACCAGTTAGGTGAAAAATTAAAGCTTACGCCTTTTGTTGGGTACTTCGACAAAATTTAAGCAAAGAGGACTCTTTATACTTTTTTTAATTCTCTCTAGCTTTCGATGGACTTTGCCATCATCATCAGGAGCTGCAATTACAATGATAACAGTAGCAACAAAGGTGTAAAATGAATTTAAATTGACTCAACTTACAGTAGTATGTGAGGATGTTGCTAATAGTTGTTTACGTATAGGATGAGGGAAACGTCCAGTAACATGGTGAGAGCTGGATAGATTGTACAGTAGTCGAACTTATATAAAATATGACAAGAACAAGTTAAAAACAGATTAAAAATTATTTAAAAAATTAAAGCATTACATCGTGAAGCCACTTGATGATTGCACAAATTAGTGGTCATGGAATGATGAGTGACATGAAACCCTTTGACAGAAGGCCGAAGGATGTCAATGTCAGTATTGAAGTGATTTGGCAACGTTTTGGCACACGCCCACAATTCGTTCCATCTTGTTCGACTACTGTACAATCTATCCAGCTCTCACCATGTTACTGGACGTTTCCCTCATCCTATACGTAAAATATATATATATATATATATATATATATATATATATATATATATATATAACTTAGACTCTCAAGCTTTCGAAGATCTATGTCTTCATCGTCTGGAGCTGGAAACAAATATTAACAATAGCAACAAATAGCAATTAGGAGAAAAATATTTACTTACCAAGTCGGCGTCCTAATCGAACCTCATCAGTCCAGTTTTTTATTCGTCGACTGTGTTCCCTTCACTGTTGTTTAAAAACCATTTCAGCAACAATCTCGCCGACTTACTCCAGACGATGAAGACATAGATCTTCGAAAGCTCGAGTTTAAGTTATAAGAGTGTACTTTTACAATACTTTGCCTTCTACCCAAAGAAATTCAAGGATATTTTCTCCTAACAGTTAAGGCAATTAACTATGAATACTATATATATACTCGTATATATATATATATATATATATATATATATATATATAAAATTACATTTAAACCAACTAGAGAAAAAACGAGTGTTGTTGGTGGGGCTATAGTTATGCTCTCCAGCATACATAGATAAAGGCTAATGAATAAAATTATATTCGTTTAAGTATTTTTTCCATTTAGAATTAAGTGTGGATCACAGATCTGCATGTGTTCAACGAATTACGACTAGGCAAAAGGAGCAAATATACGATTTCTTTCTTTCCAAAATATCAGTCTGTAGTCAAGTTGAAAGTGCATACTACAAGTGGACTTGACATGGTGCTGTGAGTGTTACTCATATCGGCACCTGTGAAGGTACAACTCAACGACCATGCTGCAACTTCGCCAGCATGCTTTGATGGTGGCAGAATGCAGAGTATATCTGAGAAAATGTGACAGACAGAAAATTGGTTGGGTAGCAGAGTAGCAAGATCGCATCCGCTAGATAAGGTTTCACCAAATCAGTGTAGTAACCTCTGCTGGGCTGGATTTGAAAAGGGTATTAGTGTAACTATTTCCTTTGAATTGTCATTATGACATTTCTTAAATTCCAACACTTTAAATTGAAAAGTTAATTTGCCTACAAAGGCACGCATTACCACAAAGGAATAAAAAGAACACTAACTATGACTGTATATTTCCTCGTATGGTTAGTTAGTTTATTTCTGTGATGTTCTATATTCACAATGTGTAACATTTATGTATCTTATGAGATAAAGAAGTAGTAAACTCATGATCATTCCGCAAAATGTGGTTGTCTAACCATCGTTTGCTTGTACATGACGGATCACACTTTATACACTTGAGTATGTTTCAGCATATGCCTAGCTAAGCAATGTGGATATGTAGTTTTATATTCACAATGTGTACATTCGTGTATCTTACAAGATACGGATGACGTAAATGCAGGATGCTTCTGCAAAATATGGTTGTCTAAACATTGTTTCCTTCTAAATGACACATCACACTTTGTACACTTGAGCTTAGCACCAGTATGTTTCATCATATGATTAGCTAAATAAAACGCATATGTAGTTTTATATTCACAATGTGTACATTTATGTATCTTACAAGATACAGAAGTAGCAATCTCAGGATGTTCCCGCAAAATGTGGTTGTCTAACCCTAGTTGATTTGTAAATGACGCATCACATTTTGTACACGTGAACTCGGCTCCAGTATGGTTCATCATATGCCTAACTAAAATCGCCTTATATGTTGTTTTATATTCACAATGTGTACATTTATGTATCTTACGAGATACAGAAGTTATAAACTCAGGATGTTTCCGCAAAATGTGGTTGTCTAATGATTTTGTGGTTGTAAATGACATATCACACTTTGTACACTTGAGGTTAGCTTCAGTATGTTTCATCATATGTCTGATGAATTTCCGCTTTTGTAGAGATTTATATTCACAATGTGTACATTTATGTATCTTACGAGATACAGAAGCAGTAAGATCAGGATGTTTTCGCAAAATGTGATCGTCTAATGATTGTGTGTATGTAAACGACTTATCACACTTTGTACACTTGAGCTTAGCTCCAGTATGTTTCATCATATGACTAGCTAAATTTTCCTTATATGTCGTTTTATATTCACAATGTGTGCATTCGTGTATCTTACGAGATATAGAAGTAGTAAGCTCAGGATGTTTCCGCAAAATGTGGTTGTTTAATGATTTTGTGGTTACAAATGACGCATCACACTTTGTACACTTGAGCTTAGCTCCAGTATGTTTCATCATATGCGTAACTAAGCAGTGTGTAAGTGTAGTTTTATATTCACAATGTGTGCACGCGTGTATCTTACTAGATACAGAAGCAGTAAGCTCAGGATGTTTCTGTAAAATATGGTTGTCTAATGTTTGTGTGTATGTAAATGATTTATCACACTTTGTACACTTGCGCTTAGATCCAGTATGTTTCGCCATATGCCTAGCTAAGCAGTATGAAATTGCAGTTTTATATTCACAATGTACACATTCACGTATTTTAGGATGTTTTTGTAAAGTATGACTTTCTAATCGTCGTTCATTATTAAATGAAGCATCACAGTTTATACACTTGAAAGTCCTTTGATTACCATGTTTTGCCAGGTGCTTTATAAAACTACTCCTAGCTATTTGTTTATGTGCACAATGCATACATTCATATATCTTACTAGATATTGTCCCACTAAAGTTGGGATGTCTCTTTAAAATATGGGCAAAAAGCGATCGTTCTGTTTTAAATGATGTATTACAATGTTTGCATATGCGTAGTTTAGTAGTATGCTTTAGCATATGCCTGGTTATATCCCCTTTATAAGCGGTTTTAAAATCACAAACCGACGCAATAGATCCTACGTGATTTTTAACCAAATGATTATCTAGTGATGTTTTGCTTTTGAACACCTTATTACATTTGATACAAAGATACTGTTTTCCCAAACTAGATCCTAAATAGCAATTGTTCCTTTTGATATGACCGATTAAATCTTTTTTACAATGGCTCGTATAGTTACAAATATGGCAGCTGAACGACTTTTTCCCTCCTTCGGTAGGTGGATTTCCTAGTTCCTTTTCTCTCGTTTTCTTTATTGGTGTGCTGAAAAAAAGTTTCATTATACTTTACGTTTTTTAATTGATAAAGAAAATAGATTCAGTTTCGTATAGCGAGTCAGAATCAGAAGTTTGCATTAAACGTTATTTCTATAAATAATATTAGTTTAAACGATCATTATTAAAATTTATTTGAGAGAATCAGTATCAAGTTAAATGCATACGATTCTTGCAAAAATTGTCCCAATTTGTTCGATTAGCACAAAATCTTGCTCGGCACTGTTAAAGTTCTTCCAGAGTATTTACTGCCCCATCATGATACGCCAACTCTTTCAAATAGCCACACAGAAAAAAAACGCAAGGCATTAAATTCGGAGAGCGAGCAGGCCAAGAAATGTGTCCTTGGCGCCCTATCCATCTATTCGGAAACTCATTATTAGGATGTTCATGAACTTCTCGTCTAAAATTTGGTGGAGTCCGATCGTGTAGGAACCACATATTCTCTCTCACATTTAAAGAAACATCTAATAATTGTGGCAGATTGTGTCGAAGAAAATCTAAATAAATGATTGTTGTGGAAATTGTGCACTCCTTTTCGTGTATTTGTTATACAATATAACATATATAACAAAAAATAGGAAAATAATAGGCAAAATACGCAAAAAGAAGGAAAGTGGATTCGAGCAGAAAATATGATAGGTAACCCGAGCGATACGTATTTCTGCTGGTTGGCTTCATCAGGCCCGAAATGAATGCACATATGAAACTACAAAAGTAGATACACATGCCCATACGTCCGGATACGGGGGTAACCTGAGGAAACGAAGATGGAGAGGGAAAAAAATCACACACGGAGTCCACATCAAGAGCCATCCTAAGCATTGTAATCACCACGCGGCCGGTTAGATGTCGGCTATAACTAATGTTGATCGGTCCTCAATATACCGTTTAAGGCGTAGATATCAAGATACCGGGAAAGTCCTAATTATATGTAGGAGGTGATCAAAAAAATACGAGGTCGGGCGGAATGATATTTATTGCAGGAAGTAAGGCGAAGAACCACTTTTTCATCCACAACCTTGAATGAAAATTTACGGCGGCACAGAAGAAGAATAGCAACCAATCGTACTGTAAGAAGAACTTTAAATTCTAATTTGTTAAGGTATGTAAATGTTATAAAAAATTTGCTAGGCAATTTTTTAAAGTTTAGAGGCAAGGTTATGCACAATGGCAAAACCGAGCTTTTTATTTCAAACAAGACAGCTAATGCTGCAGTTTATAGGGACAACATTTAAATAAATATTGTACAAGCACAAGATTTTGGGGAGAATTTTGTCTTCATCAATGATAACGCCAGGCCATACACAGCTCGTATAGTTATTAACGTAAAGTCTCCAGACCTAAAGATAATTGAGCATGTGTGCGCTCCGCTAAAATTTTTAGTGCGGTCAAGACAAAATGCTCCTCAAACAATGGAAGAACTGTCTGAGGCCGTTCAGGAAGGGTGGGAAAACGTATCTCGAAAATTTATTAATAACCTTCTGGAAAGTAAGCCACCAAGTTGCCAGGCTGTGATCGATGTGCAGGGTGGCCCTACAAAGTAATAACAATATTGTTTAATATAACTGTTGCTGTTTTATAAAAAGATTTTTTCATTAATAAATAATTTAGGTATTTAACCGGTCTTCCAAATTTTTGTTTTCTAAAATGTTATACTTAGTTAATGTTAATTAATAAATTATTTGATGTTTCAAAATTTGATAGAGTCTAATACCTATTGGAAAACATCTCCAATGAAGACGCGTACGCCAATCCTGAATGAGAACGATAAAAAATGCTAGATAAAAGATGGATAGCAGCGTTGGCCAGTATCATAGCATTTTGGAAAATAAAAATCGTCGTTCAAACCTGACTTCCTTTGCTCACCCTGTATGAGTAGATAAATAAAAGAAATATTCTGATCGAATATTGTACGTGTTCTCAAAGAGTTGGTCAAGAACCTCTCGAATACCGCAACCCGATATCTCTTTCCGTTCCGAAAATATCGAGATTTGAATTTGGGTAAAATTTTCCATGTTGCAAAGCAACTGTCCACCAGTTTAGAATGGGATTGCGTCAACACTCTCAAAGAGCTGGGAAAGTGAAACAAGGTAACACAGCTACGGGTACAAGGACATGAAGGGCAAAAAGGAAATGAAAAGGCGGATGAGCTAGCCTGAAAAGAGAGACCAATCGCCATATACAGTATATTCAGATAAGAGATAGACCGGACATAAACAAGACCACGTGATCACCGAACGCTGTAACATTCGGCAGGGACGTATTAAGAGTCACGCAGTACATATTTTAGATAGTAGATGCTGCTTTGCGTAACTTTGTAGTAAATTATCACAATTCGATGTGTATACGATTGGTGATGGATATAGGATCATGTGGGGGTCGGGTAAGAAATATATAATGATGTAAATATACATAAGGGTTTCAAAATTTTCGCTTCGATTTCCAACTTCGGATGCCGTCTGATGTTTGGTGAAATACAGTCGAATATAATCTCAAAATGGCGTTTAAATTAGCCTAAATTAAAAATAATCGTATATCTCTTAAAATTGCTTTTAGAATATTGATTAATAAAACGTTCAAAACGTAAAAAAATGTGCATGGTTGAACATTGTCAGAAAGTAGATTCTTGAATAGGTTTTGCCAAAATGGGTTCAAAAATGTCAATAATTAATTAAAAAATACAGTAGCTTTATAATTACTTATAACTTACCGAATTTGATGAACGACATCTTTTATTGGAAGGATGAGCTTGATGAGCTTTCATCATCGCTACTGCCTGAAGCACCAACGTCAATAATGAATGGCTCGACTTGTTCCTCTAAAATATTGTCCAGTTCCCACATTCTCTTTTCAACTTTGTCTTTCACGTGCTTAATACAGTTTTCCCATTTTTGCGCTGTTATTAATTCTAGTGCTTCTTTGAAAAGTCCTTTGAGGTCACAAAATTTAAAAGTTGTATTGTGCTTAGCTATATAATTTTAAACCTCTGCCCATATGAGCTCAATGGGATTGAGCTCGCAATGGTATGGAGGTAAACGGAGCACAGTTTTATTTTGACTTGCTGCCATTTCGTCAATGGCGTATTTTTGATATTCCGCCTTGTGATCCTTGACAATTCTTAATAATTGTACTTTCAGCATTACTTCTTCAAAGTTGATATTTTTCGAGCGGAGCCAATTTTGAACATCAACTTTCCTTGAAGCCGTTGTTGGAACCTTCTCCATTCTTCGAGAATGATAAGGCGCATTATCCAACACAATTACTGCGTTTTCCTCTCAGTTCGGTAAAATTTTTGAAAACCACTGTTCAAACGATTCGCCATTCATTTCCTCGTGGTAATCTCCAGTTTTCTTAGACTCAAAGCACCACAGACCATCAACAACAAATCCATCCTCACTGCCAATATAGCAGATAATGAGCCATTTCCCTTTACCTGGAAATCGAAGTACTAACTGGTGTAGATTTATTTCAATAAGCGAACCTTTTTCAAATGTTTTCATCACATTCAGCGAAAAAACATTGAGACATGAGAATCAGATTGCTATAATTGGGATTATTTAGTCATATTGAAAGAAAGAATATTGAACGATTTAATTTAAAGTTATAAACCTCTAAAAAATGAATGATCAGGAACCTGAAATATGCGCAAATATTAATATTAACAAATTATAACTTTATAAAGCTTAAAGTATGAATTAAAATGATTAGAAATATTAGGAACGGTACACAATATAAAACTTAGTAACTTTTTTTTAGTTTATAATATTCGACATATTTTAAGATTATATTAAAAAATTATTGAAATATCGAAAACACATAAAAACATGGCTTAAAAAAGTTCTAACAAATGAAAATGACAATAAAACATCCACGCATTTTATCGAAAGTTATAAAAGTTTTGTTACTTGTAATATGTTTTATCTGCCCCCTGGAATTAATGTTTAGAACCTTGTTCCCAAGGTTTGAAAAACATCCGATTGTTGTCTATTACTCGTATTTACCTGCTGGATTTTTTAATCCGGTGGACAGTCCATCTAGAAAGGCCCTCCTGAATGAAGTTACAGAATCATCAACCCATCTTGTAGTGTGTCCTGCGTTTACCCATGTTTCATCAAGGTAATAAATCTTCCTGTTTTGAGTTCTATATTTCCCAATTTTTGTTAAATAATCCCTCCTCCATGGCACAATTTCTTCTCTATCCAGTAGTAAACTATTACGACCCCGTTTTTTCCATTTGAAATTTAAATGCTTCAGTAACGCATGGAAAGTTGATCGTTTGAAATTTGGCAACGTTGTACCTCCATTTACCTCCTGCAGTACTTTATCTATAGTAGGTATTTCATTCCTAAAGAAGAATTCATGCACTTTCCTCCTAATCGCATGCTTATCAGCTTCATCCAATGATTTAACAATACTTTTGCGATGTTTACTGGTCATTGGCTCAGAAAAGGTGTGATTTTTTTTGTATTGTCTTAACACATTAAACACTGATGCGCGACACACCCCAACTTTGTGAGAAACCGTCACAACAATTTCTTTGATGGTTGATGCCTCGTTCTCCTCGCGCTCGATCTTATATATATTCAAAATGACCTCTTTCATTTCTGCACTTAGGTGTCTTTTTTTAGAGCGTTTCCTAGGTGGACTACAGGAGTTTACAACTTCATCGGCAGTATCTGTACTACTGGGCATTTTGCGCAAGCAGTTGATAACAATAACAATCAATAACAAGGTATAACAATAACAACGACAAACTCAACAACTCAATAAGATAACAAACGAAAACGTCCAAAGAAATATCAAATTGCAATGATGCACACGACATACGTAACACGTCTGAACCTGAATGTGACTCTGCCTTGATACGACTGCTCTGCCGCTTGGCATAGGCATTTAATTGCGAATTGACCAATGAGGGCTCCTGTTTTACGTCGAGACGGCGGCGTTAGCGTGAAAATCACCCGAACCTTTTGTTTACATCCGGTCTATCTCTTATCTGAATATACTGTAGATTCAGATCCTTTCTGTGGCTTGACAAATACTACAAAGTCCATTAGAAATTGGACCAAAAAAAAGTCCCTAGAATTTACAGAGAACCTACTCGGATTTAATAGGAAGGCCGTAGTGGGTCTCCTGTTGTCTAAATCGATTTATACAGCTCTTGTGTCTGGCAGGCCACATGCTGTTTCTGCTGAAAGCATGAGGAAACCTCAGTTCCTCTCCTGTTCCACTGGAAGGCCTGACAAGGCTATGGTTTCAAATAGTAGGGCCCACAAACCCAACAGCGGAAAGCTACAAGCAAGGCCCTGTGTCAAGGCTGTGGATTAAAAGATCAAGGCCAGGCACAGTGCTTTAGAAAGGGCGTATGAGGGTAACAATAGATTAATTCGGGTCACAGTGATGTTAAGGCTATCAAGTCAACCCCTTTCTTTTGTAATGTGTAAAAATAGACTCACCTATCGGACGCTGAATCATGCCTGTCACCTTGGTTACACTCAGTCTTGATGTCAAATTCGTCATGTAGCTCTAACGCATCCATACTTTCAACTTTTGTGCTCCTTAAATCTGGTTTTCCTTCCAGCTTTTCAGATTCTTGGAACTCCATTTTCATTTGGTTAACCATATCTGCTGCTGAATCGGCTTCAAGTCCAGGCTCTAATTTCTCTTCAACTTTAATTCTAAAATGGTAATAAAGCGGGAGTTTTAATACAGGGCGGTCAATTTACAAGACAGTTCCAAAAAGTTCCCCTTCCCAGCTATTTCTTGAATGGGGTGACGAATTTCATGCATCAATACTATACTTTAGCTTTTTTTTAACTATATTTATCCTAAGCATTAACCTTTTACAAACAGTTGTGAAAGAGATTGATTGTAAAACTAAGTGCATTAAAAAAATATTAGATAAACTATTACCATCAACAATCGATGACGGCTGAACTATACTTTAGCGCATATCGCAAATATTTCATTTCTTATTTTAAAATGAAAGATTAGGATGTAACTTGCACGAAAATATCATTTTTTTTAAGGAACACGCATTTTGTGTGGTAATACTGCGGTATAGAATACTGCTTGTTTACACAAAAGATTGCTCAAAATTATATGAATATAACATACAATGTAAATTACTATGACACTGTTCATCGCAATAATGCAATTTTCCATTATTTTAATGATGAAAATAATTCATTGTTAAGTAGTCATTTCATTTATTTCAGATGAATAATCCCATCACTACACCACCATCACTATCCCACTCTCTCCATCTAGTTGCTATGTTGCCAAATCATGGATAGTTATATACCCTAATTTGGTTTGTGCATTCAGCACAGGATCGTGAAAATGCGATTTGGAGGTGTGGACGGCAGGTTTTACTGTACTAAATCCACCTTGTGCCCTACGATAGCGTTAGCTAAAGACACTTTTTTTGAATAATGCCTTATGCCCTCCACAAAAGTACTTCGGTTATTGTTTTTCCTATATTATAGTTATAATCTATTTACTTTTTGTATGTATGTACTTGAAGAATTATTTGAAGTGAAGCTGATGTCATAAAATATACCTAATTAAATGTGATATATATGAGAAATAACTGAAAAAGTAGCTGTTGCCAATCACTAAATAATGAAAACATAACAAAGAACGTTGCAAGTTGTTTGATCGTTGATCTTTATTTAACTATAATGTTGGAAGATGATATGTTGGGTGGACCTAGCGAGGTGGTCTAAATCGACGAATCGAAGTTGGGTTTTTTATATGTAATGACCGCTAGTATTTTCTATTTCACGCGAGCCGCTGGTGCATTTTCCACTATTTAGACACATACTGTTCAAAATTTCGTCTAGTTTTCGGTAAATATTGGGTCAACTTCTCATAAAACAAGCCATTTACGATAAATTAAGACTTTCATTTTGCAAAAAACCTCATTTTTTTCGTATTTCTCCCAAAAAAAGATACAACTTGACAACAATGGACATCATTTATCTTATCTGTCAAGAAATGAACGTTATAAAATTGCTATTCAAAATTGTACTTTCAAATATTTCTTATAAACGCAAAAACTTTGATCTCATTGAAAATACACGAAAAAAATGGTTAAGGAATTTCAAGAAGACAGAAAAATCACAACACAACTCCTCTACACAGTTTAAATACCATCATTTACAGTATGTATTTTGAACTGTTATATTAGCTAATAAGCTAATGTGCAATAACAAGGGCTGATTTTGAACCTTTTTTTTGCAAAAGACAACGATTTTTTACAGTTTCACATCTGTTTTCCTTATTACTATACAGTGAATGTTATATTCTTATAATTTAGAGCATCATTTTGTTGATGCTATCTGTATCACAAGTGGTTTGTAGCAGTTATATACCATTTCTATTTGCAAATAAAGATTATGGTTATTGTTAATATTGTTAGGATGGCAGTGGAACATTTCAAAATGACGGTAGTGCCCCACCTTGTAGCATTTTTTCAGAGCATTAATGCTATGTGATTCTTGATGCCCCATTTTGTAGCTCCTTATGGTGGAAGCCTCAGTAGCTCGGTGGTTTGCGTGTTGAGGTAGCAAATTGGCATGGATATTACGTCTCTCGAAAAGTGACATTTGTCGTTTTTTTGACATGATATAGGTTTTTTGTGATATGTAGGTTTTTCTACAAGACGTCAACTTTGCACTAGCTGTTGTACACTTGTTGTGTAAATGTTGCGTAAACATCTACTTCAGAGATGGCATTATTGGAGGATTAAGCTGTAAATTGTATGCTATAGCTAGATGCAAAAGGCTTTATGTGCCAATAATATGTGTTGATGACAATTTCATTAGTTTCTTGTCTCAAATACACTTACTTGAGATTTATGCAAAGCTAAAAATTAGTTGTGCATCTGCTTTTTCTTATTCAACCTGGAAATTACATATGTAAATTTGCTGGATTTCAAAAAAGAGAGCGATAAAAACAGAAAATCTCTGGTTAGTGAAGCTATATTCTATATACATGTAGAGCTCCTAATGAGCTTCCAAAAAAATATTTCAAGATGGCGCACAAGAATCATCTTGTAATTACTAATAAGCTAACATACCTATGATACTTGTCCATTAATTTCATCTCTCCAAACTTCTACTAAGTTGACATGTTCGAAAATTAAGTATGGGAAAAAAATTTTCATGAATGCCCTGTATAGATGACTGATTTGTTTCTAAGGTATTTTTTGAATTGCATAGATCCAAAACAAAATTAGGCCCACCTATCAGATATGGCATCTTCGCATTCATATTTGATGTCAAACTCTTGAGTTACTGTCAAAGTGTCCATATTTTCTAACTTTGTGTTGTTCACAGTTCGTTCTGCCTCTGGTTTTTCAGATTTAACCCCAACTACTAACTGATTCTCCATTTTCACTTGGTTAACTCCATCCCATCTTTGACACTAAAATAATATTACTGTAACTGTCGAGCACCATCTCTAGGCGCCAGTGTTGCCACTTCTTGGCCCGTTGCTGAAGGGATTTCCTTCTCTACCATTGAAATGACAATATAAAATATTAGGAATAATTATCAAGGAGGCTTGACAGGTGATCTTTCCTTGGGAGGCTAATATCACATTTAAGAATAAACAATTTTCTTTAAAAGGAGAGTGGAATCTGTATTACTTCAAATGGAATTAGTTAATTAGCAAAATGACTGTGATGGCTCAAATTGTATGTGAATGTCCAAATACAACATGAGGCTGTGTATCTCCTTGGAGAACATGTTAAACAATGGTATAAATATTTATAAAAGAACTACTGCCGAACTCTACTATTTTCGAAGCTCCTAGGTTGTAGCATACAATAAGAAAACTATTTGGAAGTTTCTTGATCTCTTATAATCAACTATGATTATGTTTCTTACTTTTAACATGTTGAACTGGAATTCATGCTCCTCTTGCTATCTAGTTCCTCTAAAGGACCTATTGAATATTCAGTTTTCATTTCAGGATATATAATATATAAAGAATAATAAAATAATTCTATCGCAGATTATTTACTCGAAGACCTCAAATCTAAGAAACTACCTTTGCTACATATTCAAAAAGCACATTTAAAAACAACAACACTCAACCCACAAAACATAACAATAAATCAAATTCAAGCGAATAACCAAATGAAAATGGTATTTATATTTAGGTACAGCACCGTTCAAGCGAGTGTGGTTATGGTTTGGTTATAAGATCCGTGACGTCAGCAATCAGCTGTTATGTCATAGTTATCACTGAAAAATTGCGGTATTTGCCCAACATAACCAAAATCTCTGTGTTATGTACCGCGGTTATAATGTTGCTCAAGATGACACACGGGTTGATGACGTCAGTTACTCGAATCGCTTGACGCGTTGGCTTTAACCGCGGTTTTGTGGAAAATTGTTTATTTTAGAAAAGCTGGTATATAATATCTGGTTATATTTATTATCACTTAATAATCGGTGCTTTTTCGTCTACAACGGTGTATGGAAAGTTTAAAAAAGAAACCTTTCATAATATTAATGGGAGAAATGTTATTTTTTTCAGAAAAAAGTTATTAATGATGGAACCATGGCTTTGTAGCTACGATAACTTTCAATTCTCTAAACTTTTTCGCATGTCGCAGGAAAAATTTATTGATTTATCGGTTATGATAGGAAAAAGCGTTAAAAAAAGATATTAGCAAAACCGCATACAGGTGGACATCATCCAGTGAGTTTATATGGCCATATTTTAATAATCTTGTGGTATATGGCTACACAGGATACTTTGTTAAGCATAGGAACTAGATTTAAGTGTTCCCAACTACAGTAATGAGTATAACTAATAAGGTGCTCCACTTTATGCTAACACTGAAGTCAGCCTGTATCAAGTTTCCCAAAAATGAAGCTGAAATACAATAAAAATATCCAATACCTGGCAAAATTCTAACTTGTCATATTTCAAATAATAACCACAAATGAATACCATAATTTTGCGGTGATAACTATGACATATAACAGCTGATTCATGACGTCACGGACTTATAACCAAACTGATAACCACACTCGCTTGACCAGATCGGTAAATACCAATCCAGAATGGTAAATGTAAATACCATTTTCCTTTGGTTATTCGCTTGAATTTCATTTACATTTCTGGTTATATTAAATGTGACTAGTTAGAATTCTGGCGGGTATTGGATATCTTTTTGTACTTCAGCTTCATTTTTGGGAAAGTTGATACAGGCTGACTTCAGTTGTAGCATAAAGTAGAGAACCTTATTAGTTATACTCATTACTTCTGTTGGAGACACTTTAAATCTAGTTCCCATGGTTAACAAAGTATCCTCTGTGTAGCCATATATACCACAATAATATTAAAATATGGCCATATAAACTCACTGGATCATGTCCACCTGTCTATGGTTTTGCTAATATCTTTTTTCATCGCTTTTTCCTATCATTTCTGCTAGATCAATAAATGTTTTATTTAACATGCAGAAAAGTTTAGAGAATTTAAAGTTATCCTAGCTACTAAAGCCATGGTTCCACCATTAAAATTTTGGGCGTCATATCTTTTATTTTCACGGGAAACTTGTTTGAAAACGAGAGATTTTCTCAAGTGATTTAACACCTGAACAATATCTTCTGGAAAAAACATTTCTCCCATTATTGTTATGAAAGGTTTCTTTTTTAAACTTTCCATACCACCGCTGTAGACGAAAAAGCACCGATTATTAAGTGATAATAAAAATAGTCAGAAATTATATACCCCCTATTCTAAAATAAACAACTTGTAACAAAACCGCGGTTAAAACCAACGCGTTCAAGCGATTCGAGTAACTGCCGTCATCAACTCGAGTGTCATCTTGGCCTACTTGCACACACACGGATTTTTTTTTTCGGAAGGCTCTGCTTACACACGCGCCGGTTTTTTACCGGTGCAGTGCTGATTTGCAATATTATTTTTAATAAATCCCCAACGAATGGTTGCAATGTGGTTATTGTACCAGCGTATAAAGCGCCGGAGAATTAAGCGAAAGTTCTGGATTCATTTTTGTCTTTGGTCTCCATTTCTTTAAGATCCTCATTCAGTTCGCAGCAAACTACTTGTCTCCTAGTACCATTTCTGTCTTTAAATATGTCCAAAGTTTCATCCCATATAACTGGTCTTGCTTCCACTAGCGCAATATATAAGTATGTCATTATCGATGTTCATCTCTTTATCTATTGGAAACGTATATTAGAGATTTTTCCCCTTCCTCTCGAAGTTTTGACAGTTTCAAGTTAAACCGGGAGTGGTTAGATGGAGCATGTTGCGCAAAATGATTGCTTTAAGCTCCTTGATAAACATAGCTGCCTTGTTTGAATCTGAAATAAAAAGACCGATCGTTTTTTGTGCAATGTACATATACAGGGTGACTTCGAAGTTGAGTCATTTATTTTAACAGTGAGTAGATCTGATCAAAAGAAATGTTTTTTTCCTTTACCATTTTCCTGGTAAAATTAAAGTAACAAAGTTATAGCCCTTTGGAAGTTTGAGTACCGCCCTGTCTCAATAACAATATTATGTGGTCGTGTTTGGCGACAATGGATATAATCCGCCGTATCGGTTCATCGCATCGGAAACAAAAAAGCGAAAGAATTTGGAACGATGTTTTTACAGGTATCTCATTCATTTGTATACAGTTAGTGTCAGTGAATAGTGGTAAGTGTTGCGTGGCTCAAACGAAATAAAAAATGGCACATGTTTATGCGGATCGGTTTCCCAATCGAGTGCAACCAACCCCTCGTGCCTTTGTTAATGTAGTACAACGGGCTTGTGAATCAGGTGACTTAAGACCTCACAGGGGACCTCACGATCAAATACAGGTCCGCACTGAAATATTTGTCGGGAGGATACTTTATAAAACAAGGTAAACAAATTTTTTTTTTTTTTTTTATTTTTACACACATATTTTGGTTTATCTTCCTTCTACAATCATTATCTGATAATTAATGACTCAACTTCAAAGTCACCCTGTATATCAATAAAATCAATCATTTGATATTACAAGTGCGGTTCATATATCTTCGATGACCTTCTCCCTCGTCATTTAAAATCAGGTGGACGTGTTCCTCCATTTATGATTTAATGATTTAACTCGAGTTTCAGCACTGCGAAGACAAATTTTCAATCGAGATGCCTTTTTTTAAATGACATTGACATAAGACCTGTCACCCGCTAGTACCAAACAGATGTTAGGCGGGTACCCGTACCGCGTGATTTTTTGACATTCGGACGACGTCACGACGTCACATCCGTCGTCTCCTATTCCGTTCTTCGCGAAAATTTGAGCATCGGTTCCCGGTAGTGCACCGTGCTACACCGTGGACTCGCGAAAAAATCCTTATTGTTACACTGGCTGGACCACAAAACACATAAGACTGAAGCAGTGGGAGATGCACGTTGAACAAATGGCAACACCGTTGACGTTTGTCTGATGGTTGGGCCGCCTACTTGCCTGGAGATCTGGAGGAACTATCGAAATAATGCTAAGCATGCGCTTGGAATAAGACTGCTAGGAATGTGCCGGAGATTTCGTTTGTTCATAATTTAAAATCTGCCGAAAATATTTCTGATATTGAAGGATTATTTCATGAACATATATTCAAAAAAATATCCCGTATAAGGGTAATATCGCTTTCAGCAGTTTTACTGCTTACCCTAATTATGAAGCACCAAATTTATTTGGTTAAAAATATTCATATGCTGTTCACAATAATTTAAAAATTGTATTAGATTTATTTCAAATTCATGTTGAGTGTTGTAAAACACAAGTGTCTGACTTCATTTTACCACTTCTTGATAATTCCGAAACAATACAGAAAACACTAATGTAATTCATAATTATTCGTAAATAAGTCACTTTTAATTAGTTTGCTCAGTTTTATGCTTTCAATTTCTTGACCTTTCATACTTTATATAACGGTGCCAACCACAAGGATTATAAAGAGGCTGAATCCAGACATGCAAGTTTAAATAATCTACCAAATACATCCTGCCGATATGTTAAGTTCACAGCCTACCTGTAGCACTTTATGACATTACAGAATCTCCTGAACTTCTGTATCTCGCAATACATTTCACGTATACCATCACAGCTACAGCTTTATATTTTGTGCTCATTTTTTACGAAATATCTCCAAAAGCATCAGCGTTAAAAATCTCAATGTTAACCAAAACAAACGCCATATTTGATATTTTTGCAATCAGAAATTCAGATAAAGATATACATTGTGGCTATTGTGCATCAGTTATAGCCCAGAGATTATGCACATTGAACTTCGCACGTGAGATGGAAGCACTGATCGATCAAAATGAGAACCTCACTTTGTTTATGAGTGACGAAGCCCACTTTCACCTAAACAGCATGGTTAACCAGCAGAATTGTCGTTATTGGGCTAATGAAAATCCGCAACAGTTACACGAAAGACCGCTGCACAGCCCAAAAGTAACGGTTTGGTACGCTGTATCGCAAACTTGCATCATTGGTCCTTACTTCTTCGAAGACGGTAATGGTCGTGATGTTACCGTGAACTCAGAGCGCTACGTCGACATGATCACCAACTTCTTTCTCCCTGAATTACGACGGCGACGTGTTCCAATTCGACGTGTGTGGTTCCAGCAGGATGGGGCGACCGCCCACACAGCCCCAGCATCCATGGACGTTATTCGCCCTCTCTTCCCTGGTCGCTTTATTTCCAGGTTTGGCGATGTTCATTGGCCTCCTCGGTCCCCAGATTTATCCATATGCGATTTTTTCTTATGGGGAGGCTAGAGTATACGCGAACAAGCCCCGAACTCAGGACGAATTGAAGGGCGAAATTCGCGTGAAAGTCGCCCAAGTTGAGAGAGCGATGTTGGAGAGAGTCTACGCGAACTTCCAAGAACGCCTCCAGCACTGCATCAACGATTTCGGCCACCACATGCCTGATGTGATTTTCCACACTTGACTGTCTCAAATGCTGTTTCCTTGTGAACCTGATTCCATCAATAAATTTGTTTTCGAGTAAAAATTAACTATAGTCAACGCCAAACAAAGTGGCGTGCACGTCATCACGATAAAAATTCCCCGACCTAATGCCTAGGTTTCTATCACAAACAATTGCTCTATTGCAGTTTCATATTAATGTGATATATAAATTGTAAAATGGTCATTACTCTCTTATTATGGTTAATAGTCATATAAACATTGTTATTAAAATATCACATAAGTTGCTTTCTGATAAATTTAGACGCATTATGCGAAATAAAATGTTTTGCAAACGCTCCAATCACTTATCGACATGTAAACGCACTAAACCGATTTCGCAGCGTTGACACATTGTCACCTTGAAACTTATTTAAACTGGGAACTGACATTTGTATTAATTTTGACCCTGAATCAATTTGTGGCATTTCAAATCTTTATAAATCCTTTGGCCCCGCATACTGTAAATCAACAACTGTTTGTTTCAAAACAAAATTATTCATTTTACGAGTAGATAAAGGCAATTTTGGTATATAAAGATGCCCAAACAGTTAAATAGTCGGTGTAAGGAACTCGTGGCCTCGTTAATGCACTACTTTGAGCAAGAAAGGCACAACAACGGGCCTTTGTTGCCTTTAAATGCTGTTCAAGAGGTAGGTTACTAATAATTATATGTAATGTATATTAATAATAGTGAAATTTTATTTCATTTTTTGTAGCGTGTTGCTGCTGCTTTAAAAATTAGTTTAAGGACAGTTAGTCGTATTTCCGAGGGTGTGAAAAGTGATGCAAATTTAGAATCGCCCAAGAAAAAGCGGAGTTATATTAAACGTGTAACCAACGCAGCGACATTGGATACAAGTGCCATTCGAGAAGTGATCTATAATATGTATCACAAAAGTAAGATCTTATTATAATAACTTATCAGAAATTTGCATTAATTTGTTAACTAAATTATAATGTCATATTACACATGGTTTCAGAAGAACAAGTACCTACCATACAAACTTTATGGTCTCGATTAAGAGATAGGGCATTATTTGATGGTAGTGCCACGTCTTTAAGGCGGTTGCTTAGAGATCTTGGATTTAAGTGGCTTAAGGACAATCCGCGACGAGGGCTCATGGAACTACCAAGTATAGCTTTGAAAAGGGTGGAATTTCTAAGGCAATACAATCAAGCCAAGGTTGAGGCCTTATACCAGTTTGTCTTACTCGATGAAACTTGGATATTTCAAAATGGGACCATAGGTCGCTCTTGGCAAAATGGAAACCAAAAAAGCGTGAAAGCTATTAAAACAGATGGTAAAAGGTATGTACTTTTACACAATTTGCACTATAAAATTTAAAACTAATATATTTTAGATACATTATATTACATGCTGGAAATGAAAATGGGTTTATTGAGGGTAGTGAACCGATATTTTCTTCGAAAACAAAATTGAGCGATTACCATGGAGAGATGAACCAGGACAATTTTTTGAAATGGTTTCAACATCAGTTATTAGAAAAATTGGAGAGTCCATCTATGATTATACTGGATAACGCCCCTTATCACAGCATGATATTGAACAAAGTGCCCAACAATGCATGGACAAAAAAAATATCCAAGACTGGTTGACAAATCAAAACATACCATTTTTAAACACAATGTTTAAAACAGAGCTATTGAGTATTGTTGCTCGGTACATAATGCTTCTTAATTATATATATTTTGGTCGACAGTTTATATTTCTTTTGTTTATTCCTATTCTTAAAATAACTGCTTTTTTAGAAACAAACCACCTAAAATATACGTGATTGATGAATTGGCGGAACAACATGGGCACAAAGTTCTTCGTCTGCCTCCTTACCATTGTATATTTAACCCTATTGAGTTAATTTGGGGCATAGCAAAAGGTTACTATAACAGACATATTGGTAGAGATGGTAACAGTGAAAAAGACTGTTTGGATATGTGGAACGAGGCTCTACAAACGGTTACCCCAGACATGTGGAAAAATAGTGTTCGACATACTGAGCAAGAAATTTTTAAATGGTATGAAAGAGAACGAATTTTTGATCGACCAGACATCGAACCTTTGATAATAAACTTTGAGAGTTTCAGACAGCGCTGAAGAAAGAAACTCCGACTAACTTTATTGTACAGAAAAAGCTTACACCAGTAGCTTACCTAATTTTAGAATGCATTTTTCTGTATGAATTCTGTAAAATAAATACCATGCATAAAATTTGGAGGACCCCATTTGGATTTTTATTCAGTACCTTTAAGCTATCAATTAAATATGGTAGTTTCATAGTGTCATCTGATCAATAATTGTCATACTTAATGATTATGCAAGTACAGATCTATAATTTTATTATACTATTATTTTTGTTCTCATTTGAGGTTAATATTGCTTATAAACCTAGATATGTAAATAATAAATTTTATTATTTTACAAAAAGTTTGGCAACAATGTAAATTTTTCAACACACCCACCTTGATGACGTGCACGCCACTTTGTTTGGCGTTGACTATATATTATGATTTTTTTAAAACCGTCCATCCTCTCTGCCGCACCCTGTAGAATCCCGACAGGGTTGCCAGGTTTTCAGTCACGTTAGTCGCCAAGTCTTGATGAGAAGATCGCCAGAAATCACCAATCGTTGAAGTGAAAAGTAACTTGGAGTCTAACCATAAAACTCCAGGTTAGCGATTAGAATGGATTTGTCACCCGGGGAGGTGGAGTAGTGACTCGCCTAAGCGTCTAAGTAGCCTGCCTGGGCTCAGAGACTTCTTCTCTACCTTTCCTTGGAGGGATGTCTGTTTCGCTGACGCGGATGCGTCGGCTGTCTGTTCTTCGATAACCGAAATTATCCACGTCGGAATGGAGGGATACATCCCTCACCCTGTGAAAGTGCCTAAACCAGGGTCCAACGGCTGGTTTAACAAATCGTTTCATAGATTCGATTTTTATTCCAGCTACCAGAGTATTGCAAATTGTTCCGGTGTGCATACTCAAATGCTAGACTCATAAATTCATCCCGAGAATAAGGCCGAAAAATACTGCATCCATATCCATTTAGCGGCAACAGTCGACCAGTGATATGAGCAGCAGCGAGGACTATTCGCTTTGCCTGGGGTATCCACTTTGGACGGGTTTCCCCTACTAATGCAAATCGGCTATATTTAATCTTAAAAAACCCATCAAAATAAAATCGTGTAAGTAAACAAATGTTTTACTCGACGTAAAACTTTGTGATTATTATCACGAAATGTGATTCAACTCGATTGAATTAATTTTGTAAACTCCCCCAAGCATAGTAAAATTGTGGTCACCCTTTAGGGCCGTATCGTCAGTCGTTCCTACAATTATTGTAGGAAGTCTTTATGGCCTCTTTGATTTTCATAGTTTTCTACTGTTCCGTGCCAGCGCTCTACTTTGAGGCTATGTTACAAATAACTATTTTCATCAAATTGTTCATGCTTTTGATACATATCGTGTTATATCAGCCTGGAATTTCCTACAATTCAAAAAGAAAACATAGCCTCAAAATAAGACAGCGCTGATGCTGACACGGAACAGTAAAAACCTAGAAATGCCACAGCCTTTCTGAAGGAGAGAAAAGATTATGGAAATCAAGGAAGCCATAAATACCCTAAGTGTATGTTAGATACATACTTGTATCAGTGCTACCCAAACCACATCAGCAAGGGAAACCAAATGTAGTACTTGTTTTTTGTATTACAATTCTATGTATTTTTTATTTCATGCTTATTTTTGGATTATCATTCAAAAGACGTGTAATACTCAAATATATTTATTTCAAATACAATATATGAAATGTACAACATAACAGTAATATACCGAACATGTAGATAAACAAATGTGCTAATATCGACTTGAATCATCTAATCCTCAAATAATATTAGCAACCATAAATTGAATGCTAAATTAGGAAACATACAATTTAATTACAAATAAACTGGAAGCTTTCTTTCGCTCAGGTCAATTGTAAGTTAATACAAGGTCTGTCGCAAAGTAAACAGGGCATAGAAAAAAGTGAACAAACATTTTTTATCAGAAAATGGAATTTATTTTATTCAAAATAGTATCCTTCACAGTTGATACAGTGATTTGCACGGACCAAAATATTTTCGTATGATGATTTTAGCTCACTGACTGGGATGTCCTTCAAAATGATCGTCGACTTTTGGATGGCTTCTATGTTGACATACCGCTGCCCCCTCATGACCAAATGTTTACCGAACAAAAAATAGTGACACGGTGCCATATCAGGAGAATATGGGGAGTGGTTGATGGTTAAATGCCATTTTTTGACAAAAAATCGGTACTCTCCGATAATAGATGGCGCTACTTGTATCGGATATCTTTCAAAATTCCTGTTTACTTTGCGACAGACCTTGTATAACTTAATAAATTAACACGGATGGTAAAACAAACAAATATTAAATCAGGAGTATATTCTAATTCATCTAACCAAAGAAATCAATCCTGTAAGGACCAGTTTTGCAATCCCAGGTTAACCACAGATTTACTGCTAACCCGAAGTTGAACTTCAATAAGCGTTTTTCAGGTTTGCCCTAAACAGTAGGTAACTTTAACTACAGGTGCCACATATCGGTGAAATTGATAGATGTAGTTAAACCGCCATTTTACACGTTACCCAACTCGCAAGTTAATTTGCGATTGAAAAACCAGGTCTAACTTATATAAAGTCACATTTAAACAAACTAGAGAAAGAACGAGTATTGTTGAAGGGGCTATAGTGTTATACTCTCCAGTATAAATAGATATATGCTAATGAATAAAATTATATTCGTTTAAAGTATTTGTTCCATTCAGAATTAAGTTTTGATAGAACATAGAACCTAAAAATTTATTGGTTACTCAGTTATAAAAAGCAACAAGAAATTTACAACAAAGATAACATCTCGTTGTGGTACAACCTAAATAACATAGACATAGACAACATATAACACAAGGATATTGGTGACACGGTTTCACTAGAGTATAGAACTCTTCAATACTATATGGTTCCATTTTGCATATACATATATTTATCAATGTTTTTTTAATATAGGGAGTGTTGAAATGGATTAAAGATGTTGGGGTAAAGCATTGTAAAGCTTCAGTGCTAAGTAATGTGGACATTTTCCGGTATAATTTAGCTTATGTGATGGGTAGATGAATTTCTTACTTTTGCGAGTAATGTAACTGTAGTTGAAGACTTTTTTTCAAACATTTCTTTATGTAGAGTGTTGTAGATGTAAATTCCCGGCAATGTTGATAAACTGTTGACTTTAAATAGATGTCTACATGACTCTCTAAGTCTAGAGTGTTGTAGATGTAAATTCCCGGCAATGTTGATAAACTGTTGACTTTAAATAGATGTCTACATGACTCTCTAAGTTTCATTTTGAAGATGGTTCTTATTATCCTCTTTTGTATGATAAAAATTCTGTTGAACGCGGAACTATTACCCAAAAGTGTTATTTGATAAAACATAATAGAATAGGCAAGTAGGCAGTCTGCACGGCTTGCAAGGGCAGATGACAAGCTAGAACTCGTAATGCATAGCATGCTTAATTGAGTTGTGAAGCCATATTTTCAATGTGCTCATCAAACTCAAGACAGCTATCGTATGTGACACCTAGAAGGTTTGTATCGCTTTTGACACATAGAGGTTCATGAATTTATATGTTGAATACTAACTTATTCACCTCCAGCCAGTTTTGAATATGGTTTATTTGTGTCTCTATCAAGATTCGGATATCAGATGCTCCTTTATACGGTATCAAAATGGTTGTATCATCTGCATAGATGAAATTTTGCGTGTTTTTCGTGGTGGTGGATATATCATTAATATAAATAATAAACAATGTTCCGCCCAGTATACTACCTTGAGGAACACCAGTACTATATGTCCGAGGAGTAGATGTTACACGTTTTCCCATAGCAACTTTTTGTGTTTTTCAGAGTGCATACAATTCTGAGCAATTTATCATGATCCATTGGAGTTAAAAATATTGATTTATTTTTTAGTTCTAAGTCGCATTCATAACTCAAAGTTGGTTGTTTGAGAGAAGTTTTGGAGCGGCTCCAATAAAGCTTTCACTGAAATGGTTGGCTAAAGTATTTACATCATTATGTACTGGCAAGACAAACTGATCTAATGATGTTTAGGGTGTGTTTCTCATATGTCTGACTATAACTTTTGAAAACATCTTTATATTTTATGTTCGTTTTGGGAAATCATTGCAAGAGCACTCATCCTGTTCCTGAGTCGATCCAATTCTGGGGCAATCCAACGAAATTTCTTGCGTTTCGCAGCTCGCTTTTTTATCATCAGGGGAAAATGGTAATTGAATCTGCTTTATATTATCTGAGAAAATACATCCCACTTTTTGTTTACATTAACACTATTATAAATATCGTTGCTGACTTTAGATCTTGTAGAAAATTATTTATATGTGAGTCAGAAAAAACTCTTAATCAATTTGGATTCATTGGTATTGAGTGAAAAGAGGGTATATTGCCCTTTGTGGTCAGAGAAAAGTGTATCAATGATTTTAGACTGAAACTTCACATCCGTGTTGTGAAAATATTGCCTAAGCATGATTTGGAGTCGTTCTTTACTCTAGTGAAATCGGTAAAACTTGTGCTCAACGATATCCGACTAGGCAGAAGGAGCAAATACGAGTATACGATTTGTTTCTTTCCAAAATATCAGACTCTTGTAAAGATGAAAGTGCATACTACAAGTGGACTTGACATGGTGCTGTGAGTGCCACTCATAGCGGTACCTATAAAGGTATGACTCAACGACCATGCTGCAACTTCGCCAGCATGCTTTGATGGTGACAGAATGCAGAGTATATCTGAGAAAATGTGAAAGCCAGAAAAATGGTTGGGTAGCAAAGTAGCCAGATCGCATCCGCTAGTTAAGGTTTCAACAAATCAGTGTAGTAACAAAACGTTAATTTGAGATTTGGATCACCTCTGCTGTGCTGGATTTGAAAAGGGCGGTAAATTTGGGTATTAGTATTAACTATTTCCTTTGAATTGTCATTATGACATCTCTTAAATTACAACGGTTAAAATTGAAACTTTAATTTGCCTGCAAAGGCACGCATTAACCACATAGGAAACAAAAAAAAACACTAACTATGACTTTGTATGTTCCTCGTATGTTTAGTCAGTTTATATTTTCGTGGTGTTTTATATTCACAATGTGTAGATTTATGTATCTTACGAGATGATACAGAAGTAGCAAACTCAGGATGTGTCCGCAAAATGTGATCGTCTAATGATTGTGTGGATTTAAATGTCGCATCACTTTGTACACTTGAGCTTAGCTCCAGTATGTTTCTTCATATGTTTGATGAATTGCCGCTTTTTTAGAGATTTATATTCGCAATGTGTACATTCATGTATCTTACAAGATACAGAGGTAGCAAGCTCAGGATGTTCCCGCAAAATGTGGTTGTCTAACGCTAGTTTGTTTGTAAATGACTTATCACACTTTGTACACTTGAGCTTAGCTCCGGTATGTTTCATCATATGTTGGATAAATTGCCGCTTTTGTAGAGATTTATATTCACAATGTGTACATTTATGTATCTTACGAGATACAGAAGCAGTAAGCCCAGGATGTTTTTGCAGAATGTGATCGTCTAATGATTGTGTGTATGTAAACGACTTATCACACTTTGTACACTTGAGCTTAGCTCCGGTATGTTTCATCATATGACCAGCTAAATTCTCCTTATATGTAGTTTTATATTCACAATGTGTGCATTCGTGTATCTTACGAGATATCGAAGTAGCAAGCTCAGGATGTTTTTGCAAAAAGTGGTTGTTTAATGATTTTGTAGTTATAAATGACGCATCACACTTTGTACACTTGCACTTAGCTCCAGTATGTTTCATCATATGCATACCTAAACAGTGTGTACGTGTAGTTTTATATTCACAATGTGTGCATTCGTGTATCTTACTACATACAGAAGAAGTAAGCTCAGGATGTTTCCGCAAAATGTGATCGTCTAATGTTTGTGTGGATGTAAATGACTTATCACACTTTGTACATTTGAGCTTAACTCCAGTATGTCTCAACATATGCCTAGCTAAGCAGTATGGATTTGAAGTTTGATATTCACATTGTGCACATTCACGTATTTTAGGATGTTTCTGTAAAGTATGGCTTTCTAAGCGTCGTTTAGTATTAAATGAAGCATCACAGTTTGTACACTTGAATGTCGTTTGGATATCATGTTTTGCCAGGTGCTTTATAAAACTACTCCTAGCTATTTGTTTATGTGGACAATGCATACATTCATATATCTTACTAGAAATTGTCCCGCTAAAGTTGGGATGCATCTTTAAAATATGGCCAAAAAGCAATCGTTCTGTTTTGAATAATGTATTACAATGTTTGCATATGTGTGGTTTAGTAGTATGCTTTAGCATATGCCTTGTTAAATCCCTTGTATGAGCGGTTTTGAAATCACAGAATGTGCATTCATGTATTTTAGATGATACCAACGCAATAGATCCTACATGATTTTTAATCAAATGATCATCTAGTGATGTTTTGCTTTTGAACACCTTATTACATTTGATACAACAATACAGATTCTGTTTTCTTGATACAGATCGTGATTTTCCCAAACTACATCCTAAACAGCAATTTTTCCTTTTGATATGACCGATCAAACCCTTTTTACAATGACTCGTATAGTTACATTTATAGCAGCTGAACGACTTTTTTCCTTCTTCGATCGGTGAATTTCCTTGTTCCGTCTCCCACTTTTTCATTATTTGAGCGCTGAAAAAAAGTTTCATAATAGTTTACGTTTTTTAATTGATAAAGAGAATCGATGCAGTTTCGTATAGCTCGACAGATTCTTAAGTTTGCAATAAACGTTATTCCTATAAATGCTATTAGTTTAAACGATCCTCTTAAGCAGGGTTCGAAGGATATACAGGGTGTCGCATTGGGAACTCCATCGACAGATTTCTCAAAAAGTAGCGATATATTTTTGAAAATTTGGGAGTATACTAATGTCGATGGGGCAACGGCAGTTAAAATATTTTCAAGATGGCGGTACTTCCGGTTATACCGGAAGCTGATGCCAACTTGCTAATTTTAAATTGCTATATATTACTCAATATTAGGATTTTACATAAAATTCTAATCACCTTTCATGTATAATCTCCTATACCCAAGTCTAACCGTTTTTGACATATTTAAAATTTTATGTAAAAATGAGGCTTGCAGGCTCTAAAATAATTGCTCATTTCCTCATATGTAGAACACCTTATTGTTTAATGTGGATTGATTTTCTGCTAAACAGGGATATATTTTAATAGACTTTGTATGATATTTCGATAATTATTTATACAGGGTGGTCAAAAAATAGTATAAAAATTGACTGTCAAAAATAGCCAAAAGTCGATTTTTCAAATGAAAACCCCCTATTTTTATAAATGTTCCATTCTAGACGTCGGAAAATTGTCACTGTATCGATTTTTTCACGCTGTGTTGACTGTTCAATTGATAGTTGAAAGTCATATACCAAAACCAAAGCGTTCAGCGAAATCTTCCAATCTTAGTGATCCCACAATACTAGTGCTGCGATCGCCTACAGCAATTAAAATTGTGAAGATTTTCCTTTTATTCAGCTATTTTTCGGAACCAAATTCGCACTTGCGAAACAGACGCTCTGTTCGATACCGAAAAATTGCAATGGCGATCTTTTTTTCCTTACTGGTTGCGCGCGTCTCGCGCCTGACATTTTCACGCCAGTTTGCATACTATGATTTTCACCTTTGACAGTGACAGCCGACTTGAAAAATGTCCGCAAACTTCATTGCTATAAAGGTTATAAAATTATAAACTCCATGTCCTAGCTAATGAGCCCCCGTTACACCTTCGAAGAGAATACCTTGCTCTACGCTATGCCGCCAAAATTCCAAGCCTACCAGACAATCCTGCTCACCACATTACTGTCAAGTATTCTTCCAGAGGATTATACAGCAACTACAGAAACTGCCCAATACACTGATCAACAGCCAAAAAATATCCTAAATAAAATCAACAAAATATTACTATTTTTAATGTGCTAAAACCGGAATTAAACTTATTTTTTCAATATTAGTTCAAGTTTTAGAGATACGGTAATTATATGTGGTTCTGCTGTGACAGTGTTAATGTACTGTAATTCACAAGAATGCACGTGCTACATTTTTATATTCGGCAAGGAAAGATGATGTAATCGGCATGATTGTGTTACGTTATACATACGTGTACATTATATTGTTTTATATTAGCCATTTTTTCCTCAGTTGGCTGACAGCGTTCATGCAAGATGTCTCGAAAGTGTGTAAATAATCCAGATCAGTTTTGTTACGTGTGTGGTGATGTGACTTTTGCGTCTCAGAGACGGTCTATTACTCCACTAATAACAAAGGCATATCAGCTTTATTTCGGTTGTAAACTAGGTGATCAAGACAAACAGTGGGCACCCCACATCTACTGTAATACATGTGCTTCAAGTTTGAGGAGCTGGTTAAATGGCAAAAAACGGTCTATGCGCTTTGCTGTCCCAATGGTTTGGAGAGAGCCTACAAATCATATTAATGATTGTTACTTTTGCATGGTACCTTGTGTTGGACAAGCCACAGGTATGTCCAAGAAAAAAAAATCGGTTATTAACTACCCAAACATAACATCTGCGATGAGACCTGTGCCTCACAGTGACGAAAATCCTATTCCAAAACCCCCAGAATCCTACACTTGCGAATCAGAAAACGAATCAGATCATGGCGATCGAGTGATTCGTCATCCATCAACGTCAAGAGATCCTGATTTTATACCGAGCACGTCATGCCACCAACCGCACAAAATAACACAGTCAGAATTAAATGATCTTGTAAGAGATTTAGAACTTCCAAAATGTAAGACAGAGTTACTTGGATCAAGACTGCAGCAGTGGAACTTGTTAGAAGACGATGTTTCGGTATGTGTTTTTCGTAAACGCGACAAAGGCTTAGAACCATTTTTCAATATGAAGAATAACTTGGTTTTCTGCAGTAACATTAACGGCTTACTGGCTTTAAATATAAACTATAACCCAGAAGAATGGAGATTGTTTATAGACAGTTCAACATTGAGTTTAAAGGCAGTGTTATTGCATATTGGAAATATTTTACCATCTCTTCCTGTAGGGTATGCAGTTCACATGAAAGAATCATATGACAATATGAAGTACCTATTTACATGCATAAAATACGATGAGCACCAATGGCATATTTGTGGCGATTTGAAAGCTGTTGCACTTTTACTTGGGCTGCAGCTAGGCTACGCAAAGTTTTGCTGTTTTTTGTGTGAATGGGACAGTCGGGCAAAGGCACTTCATTACACCAGACAAAACTGGCCTGTTCGTCAATTCCTAGAGCCAGGTCAAAAAAATGTACAGCATATGCCATTAGTAGATTCGAAAAAAATTTTATTACCACCACTGCATATCAAGTTGGGCCTAATGAAAAACTTTGTCAAGGCATTAGATAGAGATGGGTCAGCTTTTCAATACCTGCGTCAGAAATTTCCAAGACTAAGTGAGGCAAAGGTTAAAGAAGGTATTTTTGTTGGGCCACAGATTCGAAATATTTTGAATGATATACAGTTTGAAAACACTTTAACAGGTATTGAAAAAACTGCTTGGAATGATTTCCGTCTGGTGGTCACTAATTTCTTGGGAAATAGAAAAGCTGACAACTATAAAACCCTTGTCAAAAATATGCTGTCATCGTATCAAAAGATGGGCTGTAATATGTCTCTTAAGATACATTTCCTACACTCACACCTGGACTTTTTTCCTGACAATTGCGGAGCCGTAAGTGATGAGCACGGCGAACGTTTTCATCAGGATATTTCAACAATGGAAAAAAGGTACCAGGGAAAGTGGAATCCTTCTATGCTTGCAGACTACTGTTGGACTCTTGGTAGAGATGCTCCAGAAACGATCTATAAAAGAACAGCAAAAAGACAGCGCATATAGTGATTCTTATAAGTATATGAATCTTGTTACTTTTTTTAATATATCCTTAAAAATAAAAAGTTTTTTTTCTAAACCGCAACTAATTTTTTTATTTCATTGTCATTTTTGGATTCAGCGCCCCAAAATTAACAAAGAAGTGCACTTTTCCCACAAGATACAATTAAAAAACTAAAATTTGTTGTCCAGTGATATCAGAGCATATTATTCGCCTAAACAATCCTCAGCACACGTACTCATATTCGTTATATTCTCCCCCATGGACAATGCGCCTACCCGATATTAATACATCGCTTAACTGTTACACCAAAAGAGAAACCAATCATATAGTCATCCAAAATAAATACAGAGAAGTAATTGAACACTACAAAAACCATATGCTCATCTTTACCGATGCTTCGAAGTCGCAAAATGGAGTGGGATGTGCAGCAATTCAAGAAAACAACATCTCTCCCTCATCACAGCAGCATCTTTACCGGAGAGCTAACTGCTATCAAGTTAGCCCTAAGCATGGCAGAGGCAACCGCAACAAGTAATATACTTATTCTGTCCGACTCCATGAGTGCACTGGAAGGAATCAAGCAATTATACCCGCAACACCCTATTCTTAAAGAAATAAAGCAATGAATCAACCTACTAGCCAACAAAATGAAGACAGTGAAGTTCCTATGGATACCGTCTCACGTAGGAATAGACGGAAATGAAAAAGCCGATCGAGCAGCAGCTGCCGCGGTGACCGACGCCAATCTAGAAATAATAAACACGCCACATACCGATTTGATGACCCTGGCAAAACAACACATCTGTACTATTTGGCAAAGCCAATGGAACAATAGCACCACCAAACTGCGGGAGGCTATTTCAAGTGTGACGGAACACCTTAGTCTACTCAGAAGAAGACGCGACCAAGTGATTATCTCCCGTTTGCTAATTGGTCATACGCTAGTGACACATAAATACCTGTTCAGCAACGAAGAAGCCCCAACATGCCAAACCTGCCAACTCCCAGACTGCAGACTTACCGTGAAGCATATACTCTTATCTAATGCACAGATGTAAATAGCCACACCGACGCTTAGCGGGCGGGCAAAAATTAAGCGTGCAGCGTGCGATAAAAGGGTAATTAAACTTGTTTGAAAAGCTAGCGAGCGTGTTTGGATTTTTGGATAGTTTGCTGCTGTGTTTCTCGTAAAACAGATGTAAATAAAAAGAAATAAAATGTGTAGCAGTAATAAACATGAACAGAAGGAGCTCCTGATATCTGAAGTTCATACCAGAAGACCTTTGTGGCAAGAAGTGGCCGAAGCATGTACTGATCGACCAGCCAAAGATTGCTAGGGACGAAAGGGGGAAATGCGATGAAAAAACCTTACCATTAGACGATTTTATATGGAGTCATAGGCGGAGATCGGAGAGACTTGAATTATTAATTGAATTTATATTTTATTACAACTGGTAGTATTAATATTTTTTTGCGATTCATAATGACGTGATACCAAACATACATTATAAGAAATAAATATACACAAACACTGAATATTGAGAACAAAATAAATATATTTTTTAGGCAACAAGTAATATTCCTATGTACGCATTATGATTGAACAGCAAAACAAATTATGCATTCTTCTAAAATAGAATACAACAAGTCAAAAATATCTGACTGAATAGAAAAATATAGGAAAACAAAAAGTAATTTCTTGATGAAATAACCCATAAACAACACATAGAATTAGACTTTCTACTGAGATACTAAAAGCCACAAACCAATAGTATAATAAATGAATATCTAAAAATTCTAAAAGGTAGCCAATCTAGTATAGTTTCAATCCTGATTAGAGTCATGATCACTGTCTGAGGAACTGTCATTGCTATCACTTTCACCTCCTATGTTGATTATTATTTCTTCCTGTATTTCTTGAATGAGACTGTCTTTTTCCCAATATTCATCTTCAATTTTTATAACATGTCCAATAACCTTTTGCCAGTCACTGGCACTTACTGAAGCGATGGCCTTATTAGAAATTTCATCTAGTTTTTTTATAGTAAATTCGCCGCTTGTATTATGGCTTCTAATGAAAAATTTTACTTGTGCCCAAATCATCTCTATGGGATTAAACTGACACATATAGGGTGGCGTTCGAAGTGGGGTGTGTCCGAAACTTCTTATTAAATTATCTATCTTATAATTTTTCTCATCAGATGGTGGCCTATGTAGACAAGCTATTTCATAAAGCTCCATTTTTTTAGCATTAGGATCATGCTCTATACCTTTTTTGCTCAACCACGTGATGATGTCTCTTTTTAGAGAAGATCTAGTTGGAGGCTTGTCTTCCAAAGCTGAATGGTAAGGTGCATTATCCATTATTATAATACTATTAGGAGGAATGTTAGGAAATAGTTTTTCAGTAAGCCACTTCGTGAAATTTTCTTGGTTCATTTGACCGTGATAATCACCAGTGGCACAGCCAGCCTTGAAAATGAGACAGGCTCCAGGAACAAAACCATCTTGCGAACCCGCATGAACAATTATAAGTCGTCCTGGAAATGAATAAATAGCCTCATTTTAGTGTTATTTTAAGTTTGCCAACACCTTTTTGAATCACTATGTATAAAAAACATATTTTTGAGAAAAAAATACTTGCAAGGGATTATGTATTCAATTAGACAAATTAAATGAGCACTTATTAAGAATATTCCAAAATTGAGAAAAATGTATAATAAGCAAAATCGAGGTGAAAGAAACTTTATTACCTGTAGAACTTATATTGCTCAGGACACCCATAATTTCTTCGCTTTGCCAGCATTTCTTGAAAGTGAGGTCATTATCAACCCAAGTTTCGTCCAAATAAATAATATGCCTTCCTTCTTCCCGGAACTTTTTAATAGACCTAAGATACTTGTATCGCCAATGTAAAATACTGGGTCTTTCCATTAGTAATTTCCTTTTGTTGTGGCATTTACGCCAGTAAAATCCTTTTGCTTTTAAAAGCAGCCTCAACGATTCTTTACCAAATGGAAATTCCATTTCTTCCTTCAGTTTGATTAGAAGTTTACTACAAGTAGGTACCACTTTAAAATCACAGTAAAATTTTTCTATCATTCTCCGAATAATGGAAAAATCGACTCCATCAATTTTTTGGATCACAGAAGGGCGTGATCTCTTTTTTCCGGGAGAAGCTAAAGGCTGTGTGGAGGTTGCATTTTGCCTGTCTTTATCTTCTTTTCTAATTTTACTTATAGTTCGTTCACTAACACCCGTATAATATGCCGCCCTTGCATTTCTAGCTACCAGTGGATAAACGAAAGTATTGTTAGCCGCTTCTGCATCGCAAGCACGTATCACGTTTGCTATTATTTCCCTTGCCTGGCTGTGAATAACTTTCCCATGCTTGAATTCCATTATCACCACTAAACAGTAAATTATATTTTCAAAGTATTTGCCAACTGCCTACGCCTATGGGAGTAGGTTTATAAATGACCGTGCCATCGGCACGTTATTCTAGTTTCAGATAAGATAAGAGTTTTGGACCAATCAGCGACCGGATGTTTACCTGCGGCCTGGGTTTTCCAGCTACATTGCCAAATTCAGCGGAACAATTCTATATCTTAAATATGTTAATATGTATGGACCGCATTTTATGTAGAACATCTGACAACTTCGCAATTTTTTGTCCGCATTCTTTCGGCTTGCAATCTTTCGCTGGTCCAACATTAATTGTAATGGTAAAGGAAACACTTTTTTTGAACGCAGGTCTATATTATACTTATCAATATGAATGTATATAATTATTTAATTACACACACAATCACATAATTATTTAATACATAGTAGATGTGTAATTAAGTTGGCAAGTGGAATAACTAGTCAGCAAGTTGTTCTCGAATTTCAATTGCTCTTGAACTCCCTCGATTATTCCTTCTTCCATTAAAGGCAGGTTGATTATTTTCCTGATATTGCTCCGATATGTGACGATAGTGGAGATCACTGTCGCCATCTTGGTCTCTTACTAAATTATGCAGGATGCAAGCACACTTAATAAGTATGCAAGCTTTGTCAGGCAGTGTTTCTATGTCTTTATTTAAAAAACGCCATTTGGCACACAGTATTCCAAAAGCACACTCGATACATTTTCTAGCAGTGGAGAGGCATTTGTTAAAGTATTCTTTTTTGGGATTAAGTCCGCGTCTCGGATAAGGCCTCATTAAATATGATTTTAGAGGGTACGCTTCGTCACCTATTAAAAAATGTGGCAATTCTATATTTGTGTTCGGTAAATTAGTAGGACGAGGGAGATTAAACAAATTACTTTCTAACAAATTGAATATCGTTGATCCTGCAAATGTTCCACCGTCACTTTGTTTACCACGGCCTCCAACTTCAATGGTTAAAATTTTGTTGTCCGCATCTGCTACAGCTTGCAGCACGACAGAGAAATAGTGTAGATAATTAAAATAATGAGATCCAGAATTTGGTGGGCATTTATTTGACAGTGTTTTCCATCTATCGAACCGAAACAATTTGGAAAGTTCCATCGATTAAAGTAGACAGCTATAACTTTCTTTAAACAGTTCTCAGTTGGAATTGGCATAAATTCTTCCACTAGTTCTTCCCAAATAATTTGGCAGGTTTCGAAAACTATGTTGCTTACTGTAGATTTTCCCATTCGAAAAGCAAATGCTAACGATCTGAACGATAAACCCGTTGCCAGATACCTAAAAAAATCTATAAATAAGTATAAATGTCACCAAAAGTTTTTTAAATATAAAAATCATAAATTAGCTATAATAGTGTATTAAATTATATTTTCTTTTTAGTTACGGATTCCAAAAACAGGTGGAAAAATTTAAAAGATCAGTTCAGAAAGGAGGTGAAAAAAATACCCATTCCCAGATCGGGAGCCAGCGCACCACCAGTAAGACCAAAGTGGCAGTATTTTGAACAAATGTATTTTTTAAAAGATTTTGTTACTCCTTACCCTACACAGGGGAATTTGATTTCTTGCAATGAAGATTCAAATGAAATCAAAGAACTTCATTCCGTTGAAAATAATGAAAACAATGAAGCCAGCGATCTACATTCACAATCTTCTTCACCCTCATCAGTGCCGCTACGAACACCGTCTAGAAGCAGCTCAATTTCTCAAGTACGTAAAAGGACCAAAAAAGACATCCAAGAATTTTTAAGTTTAGAAACTAAAAAAATTGAAATGTGGCAAAACGAAGCGAAAGACAATGATAACGCCGATTTACTGTTCTTTAAAGTCTATTGCCCCATATGGCTGATTTCACAGAATTTGAAAAACTAGAAATTAAGTCGGATGTCATGTCATTAATTTTGAAGAAAAAGAAAAAAAAACTGCCAGAGCAGCAGCAGCAGATTTTACAACTTCCGCTTTTGGAAACTGGTAACTTGGAAAACCAAGCAGGCTGCAGTAACGACCCAGGTTCATATTTAACGTATAATATTATATAATGTAGTTTTTGTTAGAAAATTTGGTTAATTAGCCTGTTATAATAAAAACTTTTATTTCTATAACTAGCATTTCATTATTATATATAAAAAGAATATATTCTTACCTTAATGTTACTACCAGTCTTTCTTCTGCTGATATAGGAGATCGATAATTTGTCGTAATTTTCGTAAGCCTTCTATTAACCTTACTTAATAAAAAATCATATGTGCTTATGGACATTCTTAAGTATTCAAAGAATTTTTCCGGGTATTATCTTAATTCGACGTATAGGTGGTGAAATTCTCCAAATTTTTTTCTCCTTTTATTAATAGGATGTATTCCATATCTACGAGACTTCTCCAAAAATAATTTCCACTTCATATAGGGGTTACTGTCTATTAAAATATTTCTTTTAGTTTTGATAAGGGCGCCATGTTTACTTTCGACAGAAGACAACTAATCTGCGATTTTCTATTTTTAGTATGGCCAAAAAATCGCCTTGCAATTCAGTCTGGCCGTACACTTAGAGTGCACTGCCACGCAAGATGCACGAAATCATGCTTGCATGCCAGAATCCATAAAGGAAGCCCTCACCACGTACTACGAACGAACACTACAGTTTCTCAAAGAATCCAATACCTACAATTTAATCTAATGTCTTATGTATTGTATGTAACTATGTACCCTATCATTAACCTTGTCGTCCAGCCGCTAATAACCCTGCGTGGTATGCAGCTTTTGTGTTTTCTCAATAAAAAAAAATTATAAACAATGACTAGGGTGGCTTCAGGGGCGCTAATTTATAAAAAGGAACATGTAATTTGACTTCAATAGTGTGAGTTAAGTATCTGCTACTTATTAAGTTTTATTTCAGGCTCACTAGGGTAGGTCCACCAGAAGGGAGCGGATCAACAGGTGAAACCAGAAATACAAAATGTTATGAACAATGTATATACCCCTATATTCAATAAATTTTAGCAAGGGTAGGAGATCCATATATTCTTATCTATCTATATCGTATCTTATGAACTAGCAAACGAGTAAGTAGTAGAGAACCTTCTAATTCGTAAAATCTATGCAACTATAACTTACCCCAAAAAAAAGTCGTAACACTTATCAAATGTCATCTTCATGAGATTTTTTTCAGTTTGCTGTCAGTGAAATATCCCTATTCTTTCCCACAGCAATAACGATGTTATCGATTTGATATGCGCATCTTAAACATTGTCTTTATACTCCGCGAGTGCACTTAGAACGTCGCCGTCGTCCTTGATGTTTTTTTTTTTCATCAGAGCTGCATATATCTATTTTTATAGTGCAAAAGTCGTCTGGTTGGACACAGTCGAAGACCTAGACAGCACCAAATGTTGCAAATTTAGGAATAACTAAGCAAACTCGTGTTTTTGAATCGAACAGCAACAACGTGAAGCAGTGCTTACAAACAAAATGTGACGAGGCAGTACTTGAAGATATGAATAGCTAGTATTCTTCTTCAATTTCGCTGCTCTTTCAGGATACCCTGTATGAATATATTCTGATAATACAACCATTATCAGTATTTTACGCGATAATTTTTTTATAGTTAATCGAATGATATCGCCATGATTTTTTATTACGTGATCAAGAAATGTCGATTTACAATGAAATGTGACATTACAGCATTCGTAGTTATCATGACTCGACGTATTGAAATTTGTACGATCCAGAAATTTATTCAATTTGCTACCAGAAGCGGTAAGCTCAGGCTGTTTCTTTAAAGTGTGGTTGTCTAAGTATTATTTTCTTGCAAATGTTCACGTGAACTTAGCTCCAGTACGTTCCATCATATGGTAAGCTAAATTCCCTTATATATAGTTTTATAGTCACAATGTATACATTTATGTATCTTACTAGATACAGAAGTAGTAAACTCATGATGTTTCCGCAAGATGTGATCGTCTAAGGATTGTATGGATGTCAATGTTTCATCATATGTCTGATGAGTTGT